TCCCCATCTCTTTAATGGCAAACTTCCAGATCCCAGATCTCCTCAAGTGCCTGAGGGATGCGCTTCTTGAAGCCCACTCTGTGGATGCGCTTGTGAATATTGATTGTGTATTCTCGGGTCACCACCTCGTTGATGGCAGAATGGCCCTTTTTCTTTTTGCCACCCTTCTTTGCAAGGAGCCATTCTGCCAGGCCCAAGTTGGAAGTGAAGAGCTTAGTGCATTGTGGGATGGAAGGCTGCTGTCTAGTGTTGATTCTGGGACCCAAGTTCCTTCCAGTGGTTTCTGGGCCCCTGGGGCTTCTCATGGTCCTCTCCATTGGATCTGGGCGTCTGGTCAATAGATGAGGGGCAGTGAATGAAGAAAGGGCAGGTTTACTGCCACTCATCCACATGGCTCAGTGGAGAAAGTAATGATTTGCTAAACGCACAGGTAGTCTTGCTATACTTTTCAAAGTTCTGCCTGCAAGGTCCAGGGGGTAGAGCAAAGCTGGCTCTGCCCCTTCTGTGCCCAGCAGGGACCACAGCACTTCTGAGGTTGGAGAGAGGCAGGAGTGATGCAGGAAAGCAGGAGCAATGCAGAGGCTGGCTTCTACCCCCACATTTTCAGGCTTTGACAGAAATAGCAGAGCACATCAGGACGAATGGAAGACTCCATTAAAGGAAACTGGTACAAACTGAAGCCAAAGTACTGTTACAGGAAAACAATCTGGCAGGCGCTTACCTGCTTAAACAGTGCAGATGAACGCCCAGCCCAGAGTGAAGGTGGAGTGCAGTACTAGATTCCTCATCCAAGGCCGGTAAGCGTAGCTTCTATGTATAGGTGATTCTTCCACCCAGGGGCCTCAACACGCTGTGAGGTGAGGACCTTGGAACCGGGAGCAACAATACGCTGTGGTGTATCTCAAGCAGCGCGATGAAATGTCCTAAACTGGGTAAAAGTTAGTTTCTCAGAATTATGAGCCAATTAGGTCTTTTAAAAAAAATATTGCGTATTTTGTATGGGGTCTCACTACACAGCTTGGACTCGGAGTGATCCTTCTGTCTCAGGCTCCCCTGCCCTGGGATTACAGGTGTGCGCCACCAGGCCTCAGCACATCCCACCTGGGGCTGCACAGCATGCAGTGCTGGGAGTCAAATCCAGGTCCTTGCGCTTGCCAGGCAAGCGCTTAGACCGCTGCACTGTCTCCCCAGCCAGAGTCAATTAGGTCTTGAATGTAAACCAGATGACATGAGCTTTCTTTCTGATTAGGGGCAAAAATTTAGTATCTTCTTCAGACCTCCAAAATTGGTCTTCACCATGATATGCGCCTACACAGCCCTAGGGTCTGTCGGGGTTGGGCTGCCTGAATGGGTACCACTAACCCTAAAGGTTGTGGACTTCACATCCTCCCTCAAGTCAGCTTTGGAAAGAAGGCCTGTGGGAGGAAGGCTGGTGGTTGTAACACTTTTTGTGGGAATCACATCTGCTGACAGAGAAAGTGGACAGTTTCTGGAAGTTTTATGGTCACTCTAAAGCTATATGCCGCCTTCAGATATTTTAGGGTTTTCTTTTGTTTTTTGTTTTTTTTTCTCCTAAAGTTAAAGTGCACTTTTTGCATGCTTTCTTTTGTGGGCTTTTGACTCTTCCAACTTCCACATAAACTCTCCTGAAAAAGTGAATCTCAAAGGGTGTGGTGGCCCACGCCTGTAATCCCTGTGCTCAGGAGGCTGAGGGATGAAAATCCTTGCTAGTTCAACACAAGCCTGGGCTACAAAGTGAGCTCAAGGCCAGTCTGGACTGCTTAACAAGACCCTATCTCAAAAAGACAAAAAAAGAAAAAAATCAGTGAATCAGTAAGTTGGGACCCAGGTGTACTCCTAGCAAGTGGAGACCAGTCTGGGCAACTTAGTGATCCAGTGAGACACTGTCTCATAATAAAAAGGGCTGCAGGTGTAGCTCAGCATGAAGGCCCTGGGTTCAAGTGCCAGTACTAAACAACAAAACAAAACAAGCCCAACAACCACAAACCCCTGCCTTTTAAAATTACTCATCGTTTTTCAGGGAAGTTTAATAAGATACCCATTCCCCTTCTCCATACTCAAAAGTGCATGCCTTAGTTCAATGTGTGTGCTTATTTCATTTTGTTAGGGTTTTTTTTATTTTTTATTTTTTAATTCTTTCTTCTTCTTCTTCTTCTTTTTTTTTTTTAACGGAACCAGGAATTGAACTCAGGCCCTTGCGCTTGCCAGGGCAGTGCTTATTCCACTGAGCCATCTCCCTGGCCCCGCTTATTTCATTTTGAAGCCAGTGATTTCTTAAGCACATAGGATCTGAACAGCTTCCTTGAAACTCATTGCATTCATTGTATGTTACTTTACCATAATTGAAAAGTATGGTTTTTAAATTTTGTTGAAACAGAAATGGGACAAATGGAAATGAAAACGTAAGGCTCTACACTCCTGCATGTGGAGCTGGGTGAGAGTCTGCAAGCACACCAGCGTCATTACCTCTTACGTCCAGAGAGCAAGTGCAGCTAGTGAAGACGAGGCTCTTCACAAAAAAGTACCCAAGGGAGATGAGCACTGGGGTGGTAGGACATATGATTCATCTTACTTTTGAGGATGGTTACTTATTTTTACTGTTGGAATTATTCTTGGAACCTGAGTCTATAAGTAGTAAAGAGAATAGAATTCAATAACTCGGTTCACTTATTTTAAGGGCTCATTCTGGATTCTTCAAATCTTTCTTTGGAGCCTTCCTTATATTTGTTTAGACTTAGAAATTAAATAATAGTTCCAAGAATATTTTGTATTCTAGTTGGCTAAAAAATTTTCTTTGAGAAAAAAAAATTTTTTTTCTTTGAGATGACGGGATGCCTTGCTGTGTTGCGCAGGCTGATCTCCTACGCCTGACCTCGGGTATGCTCTTACTCAGCCTCCTGAGTAGCTGCCACACGCCCAGCTCCACTCTGATGTTCTCGTGGTACAGTGTTAATGATGGCGGCAGCTGCACTAACTGAGAATAGGCCTCCTAGTTAGGGCCGTGTACCTGTAGGGAAGTGTTACAGCTTGTGTCTAGATGCCCCCCCAAAGTCTCATGCAGTCACAGGGCACTTTTCAGACTGACTGGATCTGGAGCATGTGATGCTGGGATCAGGGGACTGTGGTTACTAAGTCAGCCCACTGACTGGTTTGTTGAAGTTCCTGCTAGGATTAGGGGTGTGAGTGCTCCATCCGCCCCAGGCCGGGAGCCTGCGTAAACTGTAAGGGAAGGCGTGGAAGCTCTGTGCTCTCCCTGCCTGCTTGCTGGGGACTGCTTCTCCTCTGCTGCACCCTCTGCCAAACCGCCCTGCCTCAGAGCCAGACAACTATAGACTCAAACTTCTCTAAACTGTGACCCAAATGAAGCTTTCCTCCTTTAACTTTGGGAGAAAAAAATAACTAAGACGGGAAGCTACTTGGGAGGCTGCAGCAGAAAGATCACTTAACTGTAGGGTTTCTAGGCAAGGTTGAACATGGAGAGAACCCATTTAGTTAAGTGAAAATTACGCCATTCTGATGTGGTTTTTGATGAAGCAGAGGAAAGATCTCAGACAGTTGTAAATTGGGGAGGGTGAATGTGCATACAAGAAAGTAAGGTTTCTTTTTAATTTTTTTTTTCATTTTATTTATTTGGTACAGAGTCTCTACGCAGCTTGACTTATAGTGATCCTCCTGTTTTCAGCCTACCCAGTGCTGGGATTACAGGCGTGTGCCACCATGCCCAGACTCAGAGGCC